GGTACTTCACCCCTTGCTACTCAATGAAAAAGATGTAATCTACATATGACAATGGTTCGTTAAATTTTATAAATTATTATGCTTCCATCTTGATTAACTTGTACAAATGTGTCTTTTTTTGACATTTATTCTTCTTGTAAGATATATACGGAATCCTTCAACTTTTAGTAACGGTATTTATTTTTAATTTGCGAGTAGTGAAAAAAGGGGGAAAAAGTATTAGGTGCACGGGGACTTTCTCCCATGGGGAATTATGGTATCTTACATTTACATTCTTTGTTATTCCGCAGTTTTGAAAGTTAACGTAATCGCTAGGTTTTGCGAGTCGGTTGAGTTTGACTTTTTTTTTGAGTGCGTAGTCTTAATTAACCCGCGTGACCGCGTAAGCTTTTCTTTTTATGAAATAACGTAAGTGGGAATTATTTTTTTAAAAGAAAATTGTAATTTACGTTCCAGCCTCAAAAATAGCCGCGTATCAAGTTATACGTGATAAATAATAATAATAAACGTATACCTTGTCGAACGAGTACAAATCTACGAATACGACAGTCGAAAGCATAAAGCAACGTGAAAGATTAAAAAGCTCGAGGACCTTTCCCTTGTTGTCATTTCCGTTTTTTATTTCTCTACTATCCTTTTCTTTTCTCTTTTTCGTGTCCCCTTTATCCCCGAATAGCCGTGTACGGGAACGCGAGCGCAGCGCCTCTACATGCGGACGGTAGTAACCAGAAATCGATGACATTCAATCGGTGCGTTTAATCGACTCTGTGACAAATCGTCACAGTGTACCGGTCGAAGGAACGTGGAAAAAGTGGAGCAAACAAGAGAGATAAAAAGAGTGGGAAAGAATGGGAAAGAAAGAAAGAAAAAAAAAAGGCAAAGGGAATCCAGGAAGTTGATAAATTGAAATCACGTAGGTGAACTACTAACCCTTAAGCTCGAATAATGCCGAGTTGTCGCGCATGGTTTGCTCGTAAAACGATCAACAACCCTCTGTGGCCCTGTTCGTGTAGGACATGTATTTTTATCCATATACGAATAAACATACCAATCTACTTATGTAGAAAGACATTCACATACGTATAGTGCGAATTATATGTGATTATTGAGGACACATTATTTATTCGGTTATTCGGGACTATTGCGCCACCTCAAGTTGGTTTGACCATGGAAATTAATAGAACTCTCTCAAATAGTCCTGAATAGCCGTCTCTGTGGTTATTTGGGCCACCTGACGTTAACCTGTCCATTTGAATTTATATAGTAGAGCCAACCAATCAGGTGATGCCGTTGTACTAAATGTCAATATACCATATTACGTTAGTCAAAATAACATATGAAATATTCATGAGCAACATAAGCGTCAGCGTTTGTGAAAATTCAAAACCGATAACAGTATATCCCCATTTCTAGTATATGGATAAAGTAAATAGAAAAGAATAGCCTAAGCTCCTTTACAGCTACTTAGGAATATTGTACGAAACCCGAATGGAGATTAGGGGACGATGAAAGTCTCTACGAGGACCAATGACGACATCAGAATCTAAAGTGGATCTAGTAAGGGTAAGGATAACCTCTAAAGGAGTAAAGGTCCCTTTTGATGGATTATCCCGATTGTCAGAACAGTTGAACGCACTTCCGGTTCGTTGATGACATATGACTCTACTGTAAAACGAATCTTAGGTAGATGCATTATACGTAGGTAACATGCCGCATTTACTGCCAACTATTCTCCGACCGGATGTGAGCTTCCCAGAAAATCATCAAGGAGTCCCGGAGCTTACGCAGGTCGAGAGAAGGTGTCTCCTGAAAGTCAGGTAATCCAGAAGGGAAATTTAACCCTTGTCATTTTCCAGGAAGTATGACGTAGAACGGGAAGTAATCCATCCCATCAATTATTCAGGGGTAAGATGTGACGTGCGTTTACGTCCGATACGTCCCTGAGATGGGAAACTAAGAGCCTTGAACTTTGAACCGGAAGCTGTGCTCTTTGACAATATCGACCAGCATCTACATAGATATTTCTAAGAAAAGCACAGTCCATACCTACTTACAAGACACCCGTTGTACCAACGTGTATAATTAATAAAAAATTTAGATTATTATTATTTTACAAAAAGCTCCATACTACTGTAACTTTACAACGAAATCCCAAACAGTGAGATCATAAGTCAAATAAAGATTTTCCGTCGCATATTTATGATGCACTAAGTACGAAAGCTTCTGAATGCAAAAAAGCCCGAATGCGTACCGTCTAGAAAGACCGTGAATAAGAGTAAAAAAAAAAGTAAATGCGATCAACACGAAAGACATACGTTGGAAAGAAACGGGCTGCGAGTTACGGTCAGTGTAGGAAAGAAGCGCTAGGCGGCGCCACTGGAGTTTTCCAACATTTCCGTAGTTGCGCGTCGAGTTTCGTGGAATTGTAAAAGTTTCTCGCTGTGAGTGCTTGTGGATGCGAATGCGTTACGTACAAAATGTCGCAGTGAACCAACAGAAAGAACGTTGAAAGAACCGAAGAATTTTACATCGTGCAATTAATCGTGTAGCGTCATCCCGGGTTCAACCAGCTTGCTGGAAAGTTGGTCGCCATTTGGGACCTTGTTGTTTGCCTTTTTTGTCCATTCTTCTTTTCCGGTTACATCCCCTTTTTTACCCTTGCATGTCTGGCAACTTGATCGACTCACTGTCTGACAAGGGTACGACATTAACATGTTTTTCAACCGAGAAGAAGTGCGCGTAAACGACGCATGCGCATTAGCCACTAAGAACCTACTCCCACATTGTACTTTTTGCACAGTTATTCGTAAACGATAATTAGTCAATTTCTAATACATATCCAAGTGATCGTTCGACTCCTAGGATTTTTTTGCGTAAAATCAATTGACCTGTCTCTTACGGTATAATTGAAGATATCTCCTAAATTGATACTTTCGTCGCGGGATTGAAAAATTAATTTTTCGAGTCTATGGATTATAGTGATTTCGGACGAAGAAGATAAGTCAATCCATGATCGCCGAAGAATATCCTATGACCCTTGACCTTTCAGTTCTTTCCTCTTACGCCGAATTGCTTTTTCTTCTTTTCCATCTTTGCTCTCTATGTGGTTTTCTCCACTTTATGAAGAAAATCACGACTTCGGATTCCTGAAATTTTATTTCCACAGCAACACGACTCACTTCCGGCACGGGCATTTGATCGGGCGGAGACGTGTGCCAATATATGAGTATGTGTTTATGTACTTACAGGTACCTGAATATTAACTATGTATGTACATATATGTCATATTAGAAGTATATTAGAACCCTTCTCACAGCTTCCGACTTCAAAGCACCGTTAGACGAGGCATTCGGCTTCTCTTTGTAGACGAGCCACTGAATTTCGAGAACAATCTTGAGAGTTAAGCGAACCGGGATGCGAAAATCGGCAAATTCAAATTCGTGAAAATCTTAGGAATTCATAGAATCACAAGTTCTGGACGCTTCTCGGTACTTTCTAGTCTTTTTACATTACACTAATAATACACGAGGAGTCTGCCGCTCTCTAGCAAGTAGTAAGGAGTAGGTGGTACTTGGCTCCATCCAGAGACTCGAGACACGTGTAACGTGAAGGCTGATGTAACTGAAAAGACATGCTCGGGCTGGAGTGTATTCAAAATAGGTATCCCGAGTGAGTGGGAAGTTTGAAAAAAGAATTTTGAAATTGCCTATAAAAGCATTCAAATACGTTCTAGAACGAAAAGCTCCATAATCATCATCTGCATTGCCACGAAATTCATATACCGGGTTATTTCGTCGAAATTCACCATCCGAACATGATTTTACCCTAACAATCAATTGGTCGCTAACTTCAGGTTTGGATTGACTAACCCGGTATATACTTTGTACGATAATTATAATTGTGAAAGGATGGCGGCACTGTATATTCGCAATGGGAGAATATCGTTTGAAAAAAAAAATGTCTATAAGCACTGACTAAAAAGCTAAGTAGAGTAGACACCTTATGGGATATAATGACACGCGAATCTGGTTACACGGACTTTACCTATTGAATTGCTATATACAGATATATATTGAACATACCAGAATCGTGTGACACAAAATACAGGGGCATGTCTAGTCTATTTATATTCAGTCTAGACCATATATTTTATTCAAAGCTTACTCTTCAGGGTATTATTCAGAATCATAGAATCACGACTCAGTTCGATAAAGTTCAAGAATGACGTATGAAGTGCAGATTTCTCTTGAGATTTCTTTATCTTTGTCAATATTATATAGGTGCATATATAATGCTGCATAAAAACGGTTACGGAGATATCCTGAATGCATACTGCAGCTTCGGGTATAAAAACCGCACAGCTATATATAAAAGTATATATAGGTTAGTGAGAATAAAATATTTGGCAACTCACCCTTCTCAACGCAGGTCGTCACGCAGTCCCTCACGGTAGAACCCTCACTGACGTATTTCTGCAAAAGGGACGAAGAAGAAGGTTTTCGTTATTATCACAAAAAAAATGAAACCCCATTTGGTATTTTATAAATCGGCGCTCAGCCAGATTACAGTAACCTAGTTATACGTGTAATCCCGCCCAGAGGTGGGTACGTAAGAAAATTTATTATATGACGTGAATCAGATAAAGTTTGACAGGTGTAAAAATATATTTACATATGATTAAAATTATTCACGTGTATTTTTATATAAGTAACGTCAACTTCGTTTTTGTAAAAAAAAAAAAAAAAAAAAACCGTGTATATCCCTATTTAAATATACGTAAACATTAACGACGGCAAAGGCAGCACGGAGAATAACTGATCTTGTTCGGTATGCAAATCCCTGGGGTCCTCGAGAATTTCCAAAGTTTGATTTAGGTAAGACGTAATACGTCTGCGGCTATGTGTATACAGAAAGGAATAATGGTTAGGCGATGCCTTATTTGCCGACTGAATACGAATTGGTATGTCTGGTCCGACGTGAAGGAAGATATTACTACTACCATTGGTCATTCCTGACCTACTGACCAGGTCGAAAACAGAATAACTAAACTTATGATTAATTTAACGAAATTCCCGCGTCTTTCCATAAGTTGTTCGGCGAATGCATAATCAATGATTTAAACCGGAATCGAGTCTGCCGTAAGGCACGTAAAACTTTAAAGACTTCTTGATCTTGCACAATGAAAGATTGAAATTGGACCTAGGGGTAATTGGAGTGGATAGTAAGCATAGTCGTATGAAAGAACTCAGCGGGGAAGTATAGAAGGAAGTAAAAAAAAAAAAAGTATATAAGAGAATACTTGGCAGAGTCAAAATTACCCATGATTCAATTCGAGGAAGCACGTTGAGGCCCTAGGGCAGCGCAATGAAAATTTCGCGTCATCGTTGAAGTAAAATTCTTAAAGCTTTAAAGTCGGCCAGAAAGTTTCGCGACAACTTCTACGCGAAATCCCCAGCGTGCGACTCCCTCTCTGTATATGTATACGATGATTACACCCATGCTCCAAGGACGCTCCGAAAACTGCGCGAGACCATCGAAGCTCCGAGTGATTAAAAGTTCCCCGTGAGATCAGGCTAGGTCTTCCGTCGTTTGACTGCTAACCCGTAAACTTACGAATCAGCCAAATAGCAGAATTCATAATCAATTCCGACAATACCTTTTACTCGAGAATTACGATTATTCGTGGTTAGGTATCGGGCCTAGGCTATCGATTGCTATATTGGTAGTTCGAAAGCGCAAAATTAAAGGGAAGACGCTGCTATTCAGTTGGGAAAGAAATTTGAATTTCCCGCTGCCTAAATAGCAGAGACCATCGATATTCATACATTATAATACCTCTGGATGAGGCTTTCATACATATTAAACTCTGCTCCTCTCTCGCTCCCTCTTCTCACGCTCGGCCATCCTGATCCTCCAATGTATCTTGTTATCACGAACTGCCGCCTACGATAGTGATGGCGCTAGGAGTAGCGAACCGCCCAGCGAGTAATGCAAATTTACTGTGGGTACGAATATACGTCCAAAGGATGAAGAGAGAAAGAGAGAGAGAGAGAGAGAGAGAGAGAGAGAGAGAGAGAGAGAGAGAGAAAGAGAGAGTACGAGCGCATTACACTTTACGAAAGTAAACAAACAGTTGACGATACATAAGAGAATCTTGCATATACCTATTGACAGTAGCGAGAACGTTCGACCATTTCCAGGTTAGGTTAACTCGGACAGCTTGAAAGCTAAACCGCAACAATGCATCAAGCCGGAAATATAACTAGAAGTTGCCATTATTCTTGGCCGAATATTGAATGGCATATCGACAATTGCATTCCTCTCGTAGGTACAGTAAAGGAAAGAGGAGAATCCGAAGTTCTTATACGCGCAGCAAAGAAACATGATACCTCGAAAGTGGCGAGAGCCCGATTGCCGACTGACTAAAATAAAGAGACAAGAGCCCGTATGACGTAGCAATAAATTAAAGGCACGAATTCGCAAGGCTGTGCCACTGTACCGGAAGTTTAATTCACGATAAATAGCCCGTAACAGATTATTGAACGACCTCGAGAATATCTCTGGAATTTCCGTCCTCGTGCACAGAATGGAGACGTGAAAGTTGGAAATTTCAGGAATTTTCAAAATCCTCCCTCGTAATCTCTGTTTGTTCGTCAAAGAGAAATAAACGAAAAAAACAGATACGATATTTTGCCATACCTTTACCTATGTCTTAGCTTTTACGATAGAAAAATTATATAAGATGTGTGAAGTATCTAAGGCATTATAAAAAAAAATTCTTAATTACTTGACCCATTGCTTGTGCCATTATGCCAGATCCATGTAGGTTCGTCACGCAGCTGCGCCAGGTAAATCGTTGCACGCACATGGCGACATTCGCCGTGCCCATAATTCTCAACTACGCCAAAAACACGGTGGTCGCGATAAATCTCAGTTTTGCTTATAATCACATTTTGCAGGATGGCAGCACTGACTACCCAAGAGCGGTTGGCTTTTAAGCCCAGGGTAATGAGAGCGAACGAGAGACTATCGCTTTACCTTTTCCCATTTACCTTTTACCAACACAATATATATATATATATATATATATATACAATATATATATACACACGCTATACTACAAACCTCTCCACCCTCTCCCTTTATTTTCACCCGCTTTATTTTTCCACGATCCCTTTTTATTCTGTACTACTACACCTTGGTGGCCCCTCCAACCCCTAGGCATTATTCGCATGCCGAATGGAGTACGCAGTGAATAAAACACGCTTCATCTAAGGATGATCCGCGGGATGGAAAATGGCGCGTCATCCGGTCCGAAGGATCCTTCAGATTATTTTTCTTCTTTTATCTTTTTCTTTAGCCTCTTCAACCTATTCTCTCTTTCTTTTTTTCTTTCATCCCATCCTTCTTCCACTTTTCTTTCGTTCCCTCGCCGAAGCAAAGCAAACTCGTGCCCACTTCTTTCCAGATCCTATTTGGCTCCGGCGAAGATTCCTCACTCGGAATGAGAACTGTGAACGGAGCTTAACGAGAAGTCCGGACAGTAATTTCTTGAGGCGTATCATGACTCTGGCAGGCAATCACCGTGACCGGTCGTGATCGAGAGGTCACGGATTTCGAAAGCTCGAGAAGTTGGCCCAGACGTGACGTCATAATAGGAGAATAATGAAGACAAACGAACGAGCCTTCCTCGGGGATAGGATAGTCGATGCGTTTCTGGAAGGTATTAAGCTCCCGTTGATACTCCGCCCGGAAGTGAGCTTTCAATCGGCACCGATCGGAATATCAATTCAAATTGTTCCCATTGTTTTCGCAGAGGCGACGAACTAAACGCCAGTATGGGAATCCGTGGGTTTCGCCGTCGACGGATACGGGCTTACTTCGAGGATTTTCCAAACGAGTTACTGAGAAATTAATTAGTCGATCAGGACTCGTTACCAGGCGCGCCGATTTGTTTTGTTCGGGATAAAGCAGTCTGGAGGGTTGAGTCGAACGGATTAAAATGAAACACAAACAATAGGACCAATTTTAGGGAAAAAAGTTATTTGAACAAAAATTAATGACTATGGGTCAAATGTATCAGCCATAGTGATATCCTCATCATCCACAGGGGCAGTTGGGGTCAGATCAACCCGGTAGGCCCGAGACTTGATTAACCCTAAAATTCATTAGAGCAATCGTGATATACTTTTTGAAATAGCTACTCCGACGATCATATTTCTTTAGGGAGATGGTTTTACTCGATCTACCTTTATTTCTATTGATCGTTAATCGAACTGACAGGATATATATGTATTTCAGTCCTTCACTTCTAACGAATCGATAATCGAAATCGCCATCGCAGACACAATCGAGAATCTTTCAATGCGAGACGCCATCTTGCCGAGCTTAAGTGCTTTCGGAGCACTTGGAAAGTGGACCAGTATAGTCTTCCCAGAGAATCTAGAGCTCAGCAAATCCAAAAGCGTCACCCAACCGGAAATTGAGGCGGTGTCAGACCGAGCGCCTCGTAACGCGCGGAGTTCAAAAGTCCGAAAAGTCCTTCGGCCGGAAGCTTCCTGGAAATGGAAAACAATTGATTTTACGGAAGAACTTCCGGCGTTCCGCAGTATAAATATTAGGGGAAATCGGGCCGCGGTGGAAACTCACGTACTTTGCCAGCCATTTTCTTCGAGAAATTGCTTTCTGCTTTCTATATCGGGCACGATGCGTCCTCCTGTATTTTATTCGTCGTCCTGTTATGCTTCTGTAACGCGCTCTGCATCCATATCCAGTAGCCGTGATACCTCGGGAATATTTTGACTACGGAATTACCTCACCGAATATCCGCTTCGCACGTTAACGAACAACAATGGTGAACCGCGCTGACTCCTTTATTTTGAATTAATTGCCGCTTAACGGTTTGAGGCACTCGATACTTTACAAGGATAATTTTATAAAATATTACTCGTTCATGTTACATGATTCCGATAGATATAGATTGGAAAAGTGTAATAAATGTAAAAAACATATATGTATATGTGGTAATACCAGTAAAATAGTATTATAGGTAGAGCTTAACGTTGATAATTATTTCCTGCTACTAAGAAGTACTATCTTCGACATAGTTGATCCATGCGTATAGTACAATAGAACCGTTATAACTATAGTAAAATTATTAGCAGTTGTTATTCGCATATATTTTGGCATCAATATAGTACGATGAATCGGATAACAGATGACATAATATCATTAAAGTGTATGACAGTTAACGGGTTGCTTTGTCGAAGAGAAAAATTAAAATTTTTTTAATTCCTAGACATTGAGTATAATGCAAATTTCAAATGTGACACTTGGAGCGCAGATTTTGCATGGGAAATCTAGAGAGTATTACATTTTTTAAGATTCCAGCAACGCTACTGTTCTTTGTCACTCGAAAAGCACGAGTATATATTTTAGTCATTTCCTTTCCCTTTACCGCAAAAGTCATGTC